GGTTTACTGCCCAGGGCAATGACCTCTAAACTACAGTTTATCGCATTGGCCCAGAGGTATAATTGACAGGGAATGTATAATTGACATCATTATTGCATGATATTTGCCGCGTAAAATTAGAAAACTAACATTTTTTGGTAAAAAATATCTGCTCTGCTTATCAAGGGTTTTGAAATGTTTTGTATTGTTTACAAAGCCGAAATTATGGTAAGATATGCGCCTATTAATCGAAATCCGTTATCGCTTGTTGTCTTATCTTCGTTTGATATGTCCACTGATACCTTGGGCCTAAGTTATTGCGTTATTATTTGACAGTTGTAGACTGTAGTCCTTTCCTCGAAACAAACATGTAAAATATAGAACATATAATGTATTTCACGAAAGTTTAGCCATAGGGCATCAACGAAGTACGATTACATAAATAAAGTAAAGATTCTTGCAAGAGCACTGGAAAATTCACGTTTAATCACTATGAATATTATGCCTTTATCTTGTTCTTACGTCGTGGCAAATTATTCATGTATTATGTTTCTTGGATATCCAGTTGTTGTGCCATTCTGAGTTGATATTTTCAGACGCGATTCTTTTTGAAGTAAGGTGTTTTGATGCATTTTCTTCTATAAATTTCCTTTAAAGCTTTATGCACAGCAGTAGCGCAATTATTGTTAGGAAATTATGGACAAAACAATTGTATAAGTCAAAACCTGTCAAAACGTTTTAATAGGTATGCGGCATGTAGGAAAAATCTTACTGACCTCAGCCGTACGAAATTATTTGGAAACTCGGCTTGCAAAATTTGACTCCGGACCTCGTGCTTCGCACTCGGGCCTACGTCAATTTTGCAAACCTCGTTTCCAAATAATTTCGTCGGCCCGGTCAGTAATATATAATCCAAACCCATACGTTGACAAATACAATCTATATCAGAAATGTTTTCTGTTCTTTGTGGAAATATTCGGCACCCGTGGCGAACAGCCACTCTTCATGTGCGGACATTCCACAATCTAAAGTCACGGTAGACCGGTTGACGGCACGGCGTTATGATATTACGTCACAAAGTTATGGTCACAGGTCATAGCGCTACCATACTCGTCACAGCGCCTCCATATGTGTCACGGGATTACGTTATGCGTCACAGCGTGACAATTACATACATGTACCTAAAAAAGTTGCAATGTACGTGGCCATGTGTCGTGATTACATTTTACGCAATAGCTATTTGCAAGTCCAGACTGCAGGACAACACTTTCTGGCCACATTGGAAGAGCCTTTAGTGTGATCCTGAACACAGCATTGGCAATAAAACCCCATGAAACGATCATATGCTTTCAAGTAAAAGGCCAGTGAGGATTGAAGCGCATACGAAAAGCATTGCAGAAGTATGTGAAGCGGCCTATGATTCATACAAGCAGCTGCAGTATCCTTATGCCATGTAGTAGTTTAGAAGCTAGATATTGGATGAACGATATCGATTTTTGGAGTGGATTGCATTTGGTGAGATTGAGTTCGCCTCTGTGCCATGAGGGAAAGTATTTTATTGATATTGCCAGTGGCCCATCGGCGCAGCTCGGCGCCGCCTCAGTGACTTTATGTCCCACGACTCGGCCCGTTCAGGGGAAAACTCTAAACCAAGATATTGAGAGTGTGTAGTTTGAAGTTAAAATGAATTAAAGAGTTATTTTTATTACCTACCTTCTAAAAAATAAAATATATTTCAAAACCAGCTTCAGCCGTTAATTCATCACGAAACATAGGTAGACAGAACAGACAAGTTGGTAAAGAAACTAGTTAGCTTGATGCCAGACTGTTTTTTATGTTATAGTGGCAAAAAACAAATAAGGTAGATGATTTTTGTCTATGATTCAAACCGATTACCTTTACCAAGATGCATCCGGGTATGACATGCCGTTAACCCGCGCCCCACTGGGGGGGGGGGCTATTTATAGCCCCCCCTCCCGTTTTTCTGCAATAACTTCCAAACCGCTTGACGTATCGACGCCAAACTTTCAGTACCTTCGGCTGCATCAATTTGACACCTTGTGTCAAAATTTGAACTTCGTAGCTACCATAGGTCGGCCGGAAATGACGTCAGAGTGACGTCATGTTCGGCCGATTTCGACGCAAAACATCGAACCACGGCAATCGCTCCCAAGGGCTCAGTTTTTAAGCTAGATCCAATTTCTTTGCATGAGAGGACTCAGAATTGACTGCGCTATCAAACTGCTATCTCGGATTTTCGAAATTTTGAAAATTTCGAAAATTTTATATAATAAAATTCAAAATTTACATTTTTACATTTTTCCAAAAAGTTTTTGACTTTTCGAAAAAAACCGGAATATATGTGATAGAACGCGTTATTATGACTAACTCTAGCAAGTTTCAGCTAAATATCTTCAAAAATGGCCAAGTTATACGCATTATTGCAAAAAATTCACAATTATTAATTTTTCAAATCAATTTTTCACCACGTATTTGACATCGTACGCCAATATAAATAGCACCATCGTGTTCCTGAGCTCAAACTGCATCCTATAGACACCTTTTCTGTTGAAAAATTATAACCTCAAAATTTGACCTTTTTTGACCTGAAAGTGACCTGACCTAAGCTAAATTTGACTCAAAATGACCTCGAATGACACAGACGACATCAAATTCGAAATCTTTGGCCTAAATGGACCATAAAACATGTGTCACGTGACCGACGCATGATATAATATTTTCGTGACCTGTGATGACCTGACCTTGACCTGAAAATCAAAGTACAAGTTTGGTACCCTCAGGGTATCTAGAGCATCTGTTCACGAGTGTGTGAACCAAAAATGAGCCTGATCTGACTTGTAGGACGGCGGCCAGAGCCCAAAACATGAACAAACCAAAATGCTAATAATTTTTACTTTGACCTGACCTGTGACGTCATCGGTGACCTCGAGGTCAATGAAATTAGGTTTCGCTCGACAGTTTTTCCGGGGCTATCAGACGCCGTTTGAATTTTGACGATCGGCCCAGTAGTTTCGGAGTTAGGAGGGGGGGCTATGAATAGCCCCCCCCCCCCAGTAGGGCGTGTTATACGCAGACCCCAGTGGGGCGCGGGTTAAACTATGTGCATGAATGCGTCCAATACCACATAGGGGCTCGTTCATCTCGATTCTGTCAGTATTCAGAGCTGCTTACATGGCGGCGGTCGCCGGTTTCCGTCTTATCTGAGCCCAACATTCCACGCTGCTCTTGGCGGGACCGGCGCCGACCCTCGCAAAGTTGCCGAATGGTAGTATAATCTCCGAAAAGCACGACCTCTAACTTCAAGCTCAACAGACTGGAAACTGATTTTAATTACAGTCCTGTGATAGCTGAAAGTTTGATGCAAGAGTCGTTTCAGAGAAAAGGGAAAAGCACACCGAAAATGAGGAAAATGTAAATCTGAGTGTGTTCAGAAGGTAGAAAAACAGTAACGGTTGAACTAGCAGCAAATCGTTAATCGAGCCGCTCGTTTTAATTAGGACCTGATCGTCAGATCCGACTACCAAACACGTATGTATCTCACGTTTTCCTAATCGGGTAGATTACAAATATCTTGATGATAAAAGAAAATGATTATTCGTGTGTATTACTACCATAAAAACATTACAATATTAGGCTCATTTGTCAGTTGGCAAGGAAAGAGGAACATCACCATGGCATGTGAACGAATTGAATACCTATACCTATATCATCGGCAAGTGATAACACGTGTTAAGCTACATTATTACGAATTGCATGCACATTGAACAATAAATATGGAAATGATGGAGCGTAGGTATATCGGTGCGCCGAGAACAGTCGTGCTGCGCCAACGCTGCACTGGACGGCCGGCCGCCACCGCAGCGAACACCCTGCACTGGTAGACTGTACCGCCACACTCTGATGTAGTGCGGGCTAGTCTACCCGACAGGCATATCTGTCTCGGGCAGCCTAACCGACGCTCGGCGTTTGACGAAATGACTTTTTGAGCAACAAAAAGTTGTTGTTGCTCCTTGCTAATATTTTCACTGTACTGTATTGACTGTATTGTTATGTAACAAAGAGCATACAGTAATGATGCTATGATAAACAATGGGGCCGCCCCGCTTCACATTCCCATGGTTAATTCAAACGTTCTTTTCATATCAGATACTTCCAGTCTGCATGAGCAAGTTAACTTAGCGAGAGAGTAAAATAAGTATAATTAATTTCACATTCCATGATAACCACCTTGCGCCTAGCGCTTAACACCAGTGCCAATTGGATTTTCTCTGTTGCTCTGTGCATGTATTGCCCCATACACTGTTTCTGATTATTTCCACCACCGTGCCGTGCTACTGTATGCCGGCTATGTTACCAAGGCACATTCAATGGCCATATTCATGGGCGTGGGCAGTCCCGGCTTTCAATCGGCGTGGCTGCCGGGCACCTATCAATCAGCACTAACTGCTCGCCTGCATGACGGGCATTTATAGACCGGTCGGTATAACGGGACCGATGACCAACGGTCGCGTCCGCCTGACCTCAGTCAGCAGTGGCAGTGGGTCGGCGGCGACCACCATCCACTAATACCTCGCCTCTACGGACCAGCCCGTCTGAAATCTGGCCATAAACGAGCCCTTAGTCTCAATTAGAGGTAACAAGGCACCATCCGCGGCGGCTGACCCACCGCAGAGCTCGGCGGCCCCTGGACGAGCCGAGCCGGCGGCCGGCGGCCGGGAACGGTCATGGCCACGAGCGGACCGCGGCCGGCGTGTTCCGCCCACAAATGGGGTCGTTATCAGCGCAACCGGCCCCCGGATGGGACGTGGCTTCCCCGGCCAGCGCGGCCCCGGCGCCGGCCGGCGGAGATGTATGGTGGCTCGCCCCGGTCATAATTGACCAGCTGAGACCACACAGCCCACCTGGTACCCGCTCGTGAGCTCAGCTTGAAACCCTGCCCCTTCCCCTCACACTCCCTCCAGCTAGCTGAGCCGACCCGGCCACACCACCACTGCACTGACCTGCTGCATACGTTTGACCTCGCCGACGCGGCAGGGCAGAGCGCAGACAGAAAGTGGGGTGGTCTGCGGCTCGTCGGCCCCGTGCCACTGCACGTCAGCCGGATCCAGGTGCAGGCCGCCGTCCCAGCTGCCGATCACCTGGTGAACGGAACAGACTCAGGGGGCTGTGCAGACCGCACAGGGCTAGAAACATGAATTCTGAACTATCTGATACAGGACTCAGAAGCATGCACACTGTACAGGGGAACCTGCCGTGAGAGGAAGAAGTCAGGGTTCTGATTTAGACGATGTCTTGAAAGCTGATAGGATTAATCATCGCCTCAAATCTATTCGGAATTATATGGTGAAAACGGATAACTATCTTGATATCTCTTCAAAAATTGATTACCTGATTTTACATTTCACACAACAAACGAGGGAACAACCACTAAACTAAAAAAGTCTCCATTCAACCACACTGGCATTGGCGCATTCCACCAAGTGTATGAAGTTGCCCTTTGAGTGGCATACATTCATCGCCACTCACACCTCGGTGCTGTCAATATGTAAGTAGTAAGTACACCGACCTTTCCATAATCCAGCTGTTAACCCCGACATTAGCCCGACGTTCCCCGATAAAACTCGAGTGTCCCGCATCTGAGCCCGCACGGAAGCCAGCGAGCACGGCTCGCGGGCGCGACGGTAAACTCTGCTGATTAACTATGCATGACATGACACCCTGTCATGGTTCAGTGGCAATAAACAGCCGCCATCGGGCGCGGCATGGGCGGCAGATTGCCGGCGGCAACGACAGGATCGCTCACGGAGCAGGATGACCCGCCAGAATGGCGCTCCGGTTAGGGCCAGGTCAGAGGTGGATCAGCGACAGGCGGCCCAGCAGTATACATAGCGCAGATGTGATTGTGGAAATCAGTGGCAGAAGGGAGGATAATCTCTCAATGTCCGGGTCACATCCCCACAAAACACCAGATGCAATCTAGAGTGTGCTTTTGACCTTTCTGAGATACTGTGACCTTCCTGAGATTGAAGATCTCAGCATTGAAAATGGCGTTTAGTGACTGGATGCATTTATAAAAAAAAATAACTATACAGAAAAGAGCGAGCTTTTGTGTTTTCATTGCATGCCGTGATACATCCAAGAAACCTATAGCAAACTTGCGTTTCAGCAACTTAAAAGGCAAAAAAGACGCTCCACTGAGCTCACGACTCACCGTATAAGCGCCTTGGCCGTCCCTGCTACGCTGATAATTGAAGATGGTGTAGCGAGCCAGGCCATCTCCACGCTCATCGAACATCACTTTGCTGTCAGCCATGTCTGTCGGCGAAACAACACAAAAGGTCATATGACCATTTGATCATACTGTATGTGGTATAGATGGTTATGCCGAGCATGGTCATATAAATAATTGTCATGTGGTGTTATAATCGGCGCCTTTATGGCCTGTATTAGTAACAGCGTTTGCTCAAATGACTGCTAAGACGTGGATAGATGCTTAGTTAGAGCCTACGTATAGCAATACCATCGGTTTGCCATTCGCCGCTGTATTTCGGGACTTAATTAGAGATTGCAATCCCGGGATCGGGATCCCGGGATCCCGGCGGGATTTTAATCCCGATCCCGATCCCGAAATTCCGCCAATCCCGGGATCCCGAAAAGAATCAGTTTTCACCTTAAAAAGAATGCAGCCGCTGCACGAGTCTTGTTTACACTGTTTATTGTGCTGCGTGACATCAAGCAGATAAACTATTTAGCTGGCACCCCGTATTGGCCGTCCACAATCGACCGTGTTGGTAGCTCTCGGGTATCACCCACAGCGGTTAAGCCGCTTAAATACGTACGAAAAAAGGTCCCGAAAGCCAAAAAAAATGCAGCATCAGCGCTGCAACATCTTTATCAGGATCACAGATCGTTCAGCGATTCTGACTTACCCGTCCGTGGCAGGAACAAAGGAGGAGGTCATCAAGACAGTCTTTGAGCTCGTGTCGCAGAAAGATGTCACAGATGTCACGCAAGTGACGGCAGAGCTCACTGATTCAGACGTTGAATACGGTAGAGTGGAGCTCTCCCAGTCAGTGGCTCTGCTCTCAAAGCGACTTACGAGCAAATTCTGAGAGACATTAGTGATGAAAGCGGAACCGGGAGGAGGTGAAGTGACCAAGCGACGTCTTGAAAACATTGTGAAATAGGGAGCTGCCAAATTTGGCGTACACTGGTTGCGAGTTTTTAAGTAGACCAACATGGCAATGGCTTAAAACTGTCGCGCTAACTACGAGTAGCGTAGACGACGAGTGAGTGAGGCGTGGATGTGCTGGAACCTGTCTAGTAAACGATCTGGTCGACGCACAGTTTTATGAAGGCCAATTAGGAATAAATGCTAATGCTAATCAAATCGAAACGTTTTATTCGCAAATTCAATCGTTTTTAATGCAAATGACATGGTCTAAGGATGGCTTTTGGTTGCCTCTTTGTTTGTGGTAAGCTTAAAGACGCAAAATATGTCAGTAGGAAATCACTCTTACGACATTTAGTGACAATGCCGGGATCCCGGGATCCCGGGATCCCGAAATAAAAACTTTCGGGATCCCGGGATTGGCAAAACGTTCCGGGATTGCAATCTCTAGACTTAATTGCAATATTACAACAGCCGACGCACGTCATGTGCTTCGAGCCATTGCATTATGAAGCATGCACTAATCAGGAATACATTAGCTATACGTAGCTGGTCAGCGTGCAGTGACTGACAGCTGTTTGAAGAAATAAAATAAAACGCGCTCACTACCTTCGCGCACACTTGCCACACTTTCATTTACTCATGTACCTACCCCCGACATAAACTCGTAAAGGTTAGGCTCAGAGGTATTAAAGTAAGATTATTCACTTTGTGTGCCTCCTGTGGCTATCTCCGCATGAATCACCATTCGTTGAAATATTTTACGGCAGAGGTCAGCGGCCAGCACTAAAGCTAGATTATCCGCCGCTGAAAGCTGAATCTATTTCGGCGCTTCCACTGCATTACCCTTTGCATCGTCCCATCACAACCTGTTTCTCGTTGATTTCTCTCGGGATCCTGCTGGTCCAGAGGGACACATTCCGCACATGAACGACATACTTTGCCTCTTTGACTAGCGACACACTCGCGTTAGCGGCTGAGTCCATTATCAGCCAGAAATCCCTTCGCTGTGTCGGCTGGGATATGGAGGGCAGTGCGAATAAAGGCAACAGAAGCACAAAAAGTGCTCCATATCTGTTTTTTTTTTCCTTATGCGAAAAATGACCCTAAATACATTGGTCTGCGTGTGTTGACACCTTATTTTCTCAGTGCAAAGTCTGTTAGAATGCCGCACACAAACATACCCTCTTCCGTAATATCTAACCAGATTTCTCGACTATCTCGTTTTCCTATTTGGCCCGATGCATCATCGGAAAAACTCATCCCTGCTCTGCATGGTTGGAGCGCCTCAGCGGTGCGGCGGCGGTGGCGGCGGTGGTGGCGGCGGCGGCGGCGGCGGTGGCGGTGGCGGCGGCTGCGGCGGCGGTGACGACGTGAGCGGCGGCGGTGGCGGCGGCGGCGGTGGCAGCGGCACATACATACAGGGGCGTCACCGCGCGCCGGAGTGGGCCGGCGCCGGTGACGGAGAGGCCGGTCTGACGGTCGCTCGCTGACGGAGCGGCGCAGGGTGGAGACGGAGCGCCTACCGTGATGACGGAGAGACCACAGCCGCGGCCGGCCGAATACAGCGACAGCGACGGAAATAACGCTCCGGCGAGCGCGTGGGAAAGCGCACTCACGACTTCCTAGAGATTGGCGGAGAGGGTGAAGGTATGCCTATTTAGAGGTGATGATGATTTGATGTTGTTTTGTCACTTAGAGCTGAAGGCATTCGAATCTCGAAGGATGACATCGAGCTTTCGATCATCTGACCTTTAAATTTTGGAAACAACTTAATATTATGACATCGTGGAATATCCTTTTTCTACATAGATCAACTTTGAACTTCTGGGCTTTTGTACTCAGCTGATCTGTAAGCATGACTATTTTAGCATCTGTAAGCAACATTAAGTTGTATGTTTACCCACCTGCTAAGTGCTAAGCCCACGAAGACGACCACGATCATGTCGTCCTAAATAGTTTTCCAACGGAAGTGAATTTCTGTTACCGTAAAGTCTAGACTTCTAGGCCATATTGCCTCGGCTGTATGACATTCTAAAATCTAAAATATCCACAACGACTGCGAAATTCATGTCACAGTGCACTCTGCTTCTGTGTAACCTTGATCTTGACTATTTACATAATTTCCGAGCAACAATGGTGGGCTATGATGAGCTGCCAACAGTACTTTGTTGAATAATTCATGGTGGTATAACATTGCATCTGTAATATGACAGCTAGCCAGCCGAACTACGTCCTTGCATTGCATCATGAACGAAACCAATCGAAAGCTCGTGCTATGCGTGCCATTCTGAATTTTATGACTACACAAATGCAAATAATATTTTTTCTTGGAAATACACAGCGGCTATCACCTAAGAAACGATCTTGCTTTTGAATTATGCGATTGACTTGCTATATAGCTCAGGTCCATTCGATGGAAATACAGTGATTAAATCCCGTCAATTTATCATTTCCGTTAAATCAATCGCCGACTAATTGTCCGTTTGGCCAATCACGACCAGATCAAAGATGTATGTATACATATAGGGAGAAATCGTCTCAAATAACCAATCCAAATGAATAGCCATGGCTGCATTCCTCTCGGTGACAACCATGGTGCAACGGGCGACGCTATAATGTGGTGACGCTACCGTTGTGTGCAACAGGATGCACGAACTGTTCTCAGCTCTGCGGCGAATTATTATGAGTTCTTTTATTTAAATATATATCTCCGTGGATTTTCCTTGAGTCCAAGCCGAGTCAATATCCCGATTGTTGCTTTGGCCTTGACTCTTTCTCACGCAAAATGGTCGCTGGCTCTATCAGGTAGGTGATAATCGGCGGAGGAAATTGATGATCAATTAATTGATCGAGATTTTCGTCCCTTAGGTGGTCTTAATTCATTATTTGAGTCCATGACTTTGCAGTTTGCACCCTACAAACGGTATGTAGCTGTAGCTGTTCATGTAACATGTTCATGCCCTTGTTCCATTTCACAAAAAAAATGAATGAAGCTGTTCCATGGTATGCTATTTCATCTCCTTATAGGAATTAGGATGATACCTTCATCACAACGGAACATCTGTATATGTTTTGAGGTACAAATGACAGCGTACCAATAACACGTTCGACGATTTTTTTCGCCTTTATTTGATCTTTATCCAGATCCGATGGCTGCTTTTCCTGTAATGTGTTTTCGTGATGCATTTTCATATTGGACGTCGGCAGGTAGGCCCATAATAAAAGAATGGCCGCACAGAAAGTCACAGGAACAAAACAAAGGCCACTGAAAGAACTTCCCAACAGCACTGACCATTACTTAGACCACTTGATGAGGGAATAATGCTCTAGTCCGGGACGGTCCGAGCTGCTTAACTGAATGTTTGGTACTTTCCCGATGTTAAGCTAATGCATTGGTTTTCAAGACGGACGTCTCATCAGGAAAGTGGAAATGAAGGTCAAGCCAGACCTTGGAGACACAAGGAGGTAGGTTAGTGCCTGTTTGACCCGATGCTTGTCGGACATTAGCTGCCTGCATCTCCTTCGCTGTCGCATCGGCCTGTTGACCGCTGCTCCACTTCGCAGCCTTGGGTCGTTCCCTCTGGCTACCCAACTTGCATTGCTGAATTTTACATACGGAACTCTAGCCTTATTATTGCCTCCTCACCATGCCCAACTCAACAGAGCGGCGCCTCGAATGAAGCTCACACATTTGACTGTAGTGACTAACCCCACCACCGCCACGCGCAGGCCCGGATTCGGGAGGTCCGGACCCGATCACTGCTCGCCCGAGCCTCTCGTATGATCGTTGCAGTGACGACTCTGGGACCCTGCAGTGACGACTCTGGTTCGCTGCAGTGACGACTCTGGAGACCTGGCAGATTGACCCACGCCGGCCCCGTGGCGGCCGTGAAACCGCCGCATTTGACGTTATGGTGTCTGCTCAGTGAATGGCAAACGGTCGGCCCGGGACGGGATCAGAGCTGAGCGGAATTCAGAGCCGAGGAAACTGAAACTGAGCCATGACTTTGAGAGACAGCGAGGGATAGGATTTTATTTGATATTTCTAGTCACGTGTCCTAACAAGCCATGTGTTGAAGTATCGAGTGGCTTTTTGACCTGTTTATTTCAGTGAGGCCGAATAGGCTGTCACTTGATGTGACCAAATCTAGCGAAAGCTCTGTGCCTGAATATTCGTCATGTTTCACCTCGGGCCCGCTGGCCGTGGACAAAATGAAGTAATATTTAAATCCATCATTGAGTCCCATCGAGGTCAGAGGAGGTTCACTGGAATCCATCGCAGCCTCTGAGAGGCCATCGAGTCCTCTGGGGTCGGCTCAGTCGATGGCAGTCGATCGGAGTCGATCGACGCTGGCCGATGTCCGTTGGCGCCACGCCGTCTGCTTCAGACATGCGGTGCGGTGCTGTAGGGACCGTAGCGCAGGGGAAGGGGGAGCTATGGCCTCCGGAGGTGAGCCGGTCCGATACTTACGGGTTTCTACTTATAGGGTTATATTCGTATGTGGGGAGATGAGAGTGATGAAAGCACTCAGATGCATACTCCATTGATGCAAAAAGACGGATAATGCTCCGATACATCGCAATCAATGTCTGTTCGTTGTCACAACTCGTAAGTATACCGCATCACTGCTCGGACTTCGGAGGTATCCCACCACAGTGTGTTCCACATGCCACCAGTCCTGCTGGGTATCCCACCAGTCCCCCTAGGAATCCCACCAGTCCGCTCGCTATCCCACCAGCCCTTATAGGTATCCAGCCACCACCGTCCGTCGGTATCCCTGCCGCCGAGATTCCGATCTTGTTAGACCTCTCATGACGGGCGCTGTCGGACGATATTTTACGCACGGCAGACAGTGGTCTGGTGCTCCCGAGCCGGGGGCCGCTCCCTAATGGCAAATCAGGGCCGGTCGGCGGCAAATTGCATCAGAGAGCGCTAGCGGGCGGCGGCGGCGCCGGCCGCTAGCCCGCCTCAATTAGGCCATAACCGGCGATCAATTCTCACTGATGGGCCCATGCATCGCGCACAGGCGAATAGCTCTCGGCGGCTGCTGCCACCGCTGCTGCGACGGTGACAAACGGTGATCAACAGCTTGGCGACGTCTTGCCGGTTGTAAGCAGAGGGAGTGGCCCGTCGGTGGGCGGGCAGACACGGACAGAGACAGCTCCACTCGGTGGCAGACACGGACGGAGACAGCTCCACTCGGTGTGATACACGGACAGAGACAGCTCCACTCGGTGGCAGACACGGACAGAGACAGCTCCACTCGGTGGCAGACACGGACGGAGACAGCTCCACTCGGTGGCAGACACGGACAGAGACAGCTCCACTCGGTGGCAGACACGGACAGAGACAGCTCCACTCGGTGGCAGACACGGACGGAGACAGCTCCACTCGGTGGCAGACACGGACAGAGACAGCTCCACTCGGTGGCAGACACGGACAGAGACAGCTCCACTCGGTGTGATACACGGACAGAGACAGCTCCACTCGGTGGCAGACACGGACAGAGACAGCTCCACTCGGTGGCAGACACGGACAGAGACAGCTCCACTCGGTGTGATACACGGACAGAGACAGCTCCACTCGGTGGCAGACACGGACAGAGACAGCTCCACTCGGTGGCAGACACGGACGGAGACAGCTCCACTCGGTGGCAGACACGGACGGAGACAGCTCCACTCGGTGGCAGACACGGACAGAGACAGCTCCACTCGGTGGCAGACACGGACAGAGACAGCTCCACTCACTGAAAACTTTTTTTACCATTTCCTGAAGGGTAAACCCGCCATAGCATGGTAGCTTGACACACAGACGTTTTTTACCACCTTCCAGATGGTAAATTTTACTCTTTCATGAAGAGTAAACTCGCCAGGGAGGGGTAACATGACACACAGACGTTTTTTACCATCTTCTGAATGGTAAACTCTTTTGATTTACTCTTGTCTAGAGTGTAACATTTTTTTGGGTTACACTCTTTGAAAGGGTAAATCTTTAACGGAACCCTTTTTTAGGGAGTAACGCATCATCTACTCTGTGCTTTACCCTCCTACAGAGAGTATATCTTATGGCCTACCCTTTGTCACATGGTAATGTTTACTCTTTCCTTTAGTGTAAACCCCCCAGAGGATGGTAACAGACCCACAGACGCTTCCTTCAGAAGCTTCACGAAGCTTCTGTTAACCGGAGCTCACCAACTAAAAAAAAATGTTTCAAGAGCAACAAAGTAGGTATATTTGGCTTCCGTACAAACAATACGAGGGGCATACCAACCATGAACATTGTGAGACTCTTCACTTATTCATACAAATTTATACAAAGCGTTCAGCAATGCACAAGCGGTAAATAAACACCACGATACAACTTGAATGCAATTTGAATATGAATACAAGACATTCAGCGCCCTCATATTGGATTAGGCAGAGCGCACAATATTTGAAGTGAGCGACGGCGTTCCTGGGTGGTCGCCCGTGTGCGTGAGATAATGAGACTGGATCACTACAGTGCAAGGCTTTTTCAAAGTCACCAACAAAATGCATAAACTTGTAGCATCACAACAAAATTAATGTACGTACTCACAACACTAGGCCACGTGGCCGTGCACGGGGTCCTGTTAACCAGGTCAAATTAGCACCACTCAACGGCACGCAATGCTCTACTAGCACATCGGTACTTACAATAAAATGTCCACAGAGGCTCTATAGGCGATAAACAACACACAAGCACAATCACCAAAGGCCACACCGCGCGGCACCGACACTGCTCACATCCGCTCTCGGAGACCAACGGCCGAAAACTGACAGATGCGCGCGGCCTTCAAACCGCAAACGGCCGATCTCGTTTCTGATTGGCTGATTGTTTCCATTTCAAATATCATCTTCACGAGGGTAAACAAGATCCACGCATGAAACGACTATCTGCACCCGAGTCACGATACCCAGGAGGAAAGAGTTTTCGTGATGTTCTGGATCGCGAGAGAAATATTGATATTTACATGGTAATAATACTCTTCGCTGGCGAATAAGTTCATATTAACCACGTACCGTTACTATGCACATAATGGTAGCAGCGAGTTACCCTTTCAATATACTATTATCTTGCGGGTTTGATGAAAATGAACTCTCCAGGAGGTAGTAAAAAAGTTTTGAGTGCTCGGTGGCAGACACGGACAGAGACAGCTCCACTCGGTGGCAGACACGGACAGAGACAGCTCCACTCGGTGGCAGACACGGACAGAGACAGCTCCACTCGGTGGCAGACACGGACAGAGACAGCTCCCCTCGGTGGCAGACACGGACAGAGACAGCTCCACTCGGTGGCAGACACGGACGGAGACAGCTCCCCTCGGTGGCAGACACGGACAGAAGCAACTCCACTCGCAGCTCAGACGCGGACAGAGGCAACCCACTAGGCGGTCAAGCAGTAAAGAACCCTAACCACTCGACGGTATTTACTGACACGGAAGAAGACGTCCACTCGGAGCTCAGCTAAGGAAGAAGACACCCACTCGACGGCCAGACCCGAAGGAAGGCAGCCCACTCAGCGCTATTTACGGACAAGGGCAGAAACACCCACTCGACACTCAGGCACGGGAAAAGGCATCTCACTCAGCGGTCAGACAAGGACGGAGATGCTCCCAAAGTCAGTCGCAGTTCTGTTCGAGTGGATGTTTAAAGATCTGTTGAAGTGATTTAGTGAGGCCAACACCGAAATGTGAGCGAAGCTCCAGTTAGCATTGGAGGAAATAACTAATGACGACGATTTACGCCTGCGGTTGACTCGTGACATAAAGGGCTGTCTTTCTTTAAATCGGCGTTCTTGCCTATAAATAGGCATTATTTGTCAAACTACGTTGTGCCCACTTCAGACCGTCTGAAAGTTTTGCTACTATTTCTGGTTGAACGTTCATCAGATTTCGCATAGGTCTGCTTTGGCTCAGTCCAGGAAAACTTTGTATGAAGTTACCTAATCTTTGGCTAATGGTATGATCCCTAAAAATATAAATACATAAAAATAACACCAAAACATATACAAAATTACACATCGAGCAGCGTGCATGTACATGACAATTAAACGTATCGAAACAAGCACCACGCTCAACGGAGCTGTGCGATGGACTCACCAGTGAATGACACGTTGAGTATGTAGTTGTTGTAGAACTGTCCTCCGTCGTACTTCCTCATCGCCATGCACACGTCTCTGTGTCCGGGGCAGACGTCGCGGTGCAAACTTTGCAGGGCGTGCGCGTACGCATACACAGCGTCAATCACAAACTGCACCTTGGACTCCTGCACAAACCCGTACTTTGGCAGCAGGCGCAACTTAGGATCGCACGGCACCTCAGCCGACACGTCCAGCTCGCACTGAAACAGCGTCTCCCAGTACTCCTTGAACCACGGGTTGCGCCGGTTGTTGAACGGCGTCAGCGACGCCATGTAGTTGTCAAACTCGGGAATGTGTTTGGAGGACAGTTCAACGGTGATGGCGCCCTGAGCCACGTCCTCCAGGCCCTGCACCAGGTTGTCCTGCTTGCCCCAGCCGTCGCTGGCGATCCAGAAGAAACGCTCCGATAGCATCATCCTCTTGGCGGCCATGAGAATCCCCCTGGAACACAAAGATCGGGCTGTAAATGAAACTTCCACCGCAGTCAACAACTTTTTATTGCGAACTTTGGTCACCAAAGGGCCCTTCATCACAAAAAGACTGGCAACTTGAAGGATTATAGCACTAGAATGAAAAAGCGCTTCTTTCGTGATGTTTACCACTTTGCTGTATGCATTATGCAACTGTGCTTCTATAATGTATATAATTAAATCTCCTCGGTCTGGCAAATAGTTATTATGTCATTCAATTTCAAAACATCTATTAAGCCATTTATACAACGATCTTCGTAATCGTATCATAGATCAAGTGATAACGCATAAGGACGATGTAAATATTTTAGATGATTAAATTAGGTTTTCATGATTTTTTTTTAATTTCTACTCAAAAAAAGTAGGTAACTTGAAAAAATATCCCTGGTCAGGCCATTTGTTCTGCAAACTGTTCATTGGTGCACGACTGCGTGAAATATAGAACATTTCAAGAAAAAATTGTGCTGGATTCCTGCCATCAGCATGAACCAGTCAACTAGCATGTCAAGCTTGTCCTTTTAACGAAAGCTGACAAGATAACTGATATAGACAAATGACATCATCATCTTAAATCAACGCTTTTCACGTAAAACCAAATGTGAATTACTTAATTATCCGCGCCTTTCAATCGTTAAAAGAACTCTGATTAACTATGCTAATCATAATTCAATGAAGCTGAGGTGACGTGGTACATACGTAGTTCCCTACTATCTTTCAGCTGTGGTAGCCATTTTCTTTAACCCGCGCCCCGCTGGGGGGGGGGGGCAGAATCTGCCCCCTCCCGTTTTTCGCCAATAACTTCTAAACGCGTTACGCCAGCGACGTCAAACTTTCAGCACCTTATTATACATCAATTTGACACGTTCCCTGAAAATTTGAGCGAAATCCGTCGGGAAATGTTTGAGAAATTAACGTTTTAGTGACGTCATGTTCGCCATTTTCGTTTCAAAAACGGCAAAATTTCAAACGCCGCTAACATCTTCATTTTCTAAGGAATCAAGACGTGACAAAAAATGTTATATGTGATTCTACTTTGTCTATCAAATGGCTATCTCGGTTTTTTGAAAATTTTGGATTTTGGCCCCATTTTTTTTCTAAAAAAACTGATTTTTTTTAGAAAATAATTATAAATCCAAAATTTTGAGTGTATCGAAAAAAACGGAATAAATGTCAAAGAAGTGGTCTATGTGCACCTACATACCAATTTTTAGAAGAATCGGTTCAAAAATGTGGAAGTTATTCAAAATTGTATGACGTCCTGACGCACAATTTTTTTGAAAAAAATGATTTTTTGGAAGTTCTAGACCTCGCACGGAAACAAAAATAGCAGCATTCGATTTGCCGTGAAAAACTGCATCAGATAGACACCTTTTTAGGCCTTAACAGCCAACCTCAAAATTTGACCTCATTTGACCTGACCTTGACCTGACCTCGACCTGAAATTCATCCAGAGGTGGTCCATATCACTTATTGAGTGTGCCTATTGAATTCTATGAGTAAAATGACCCATAAAACATGTGTCGCACATGCCCTTTTCTATATTTTGTTTTTGGTGACCTGACCTGACCTGACCTGACCTTGACCTTGACCTTTGAATGACATTGTATGCAACGAATATTGTCTTGGTAGTCCAAGAACACGTTTTGGGCAATCAGTCTCAGTCCATTCTTCGGCAACTACGGTGCAAGGCCGATACTGTAGAAACTTGCATTTTGTACCCTTGACCTGACCTTGACCTGACCTCTGACCTACTTAAGCAAAAAAATTTGGGCTCTTAAGATCCGCCTTGTTGAGAGATTTCATGGACCTCCTTCGGCAGCTATCAGAGAATGGGCCCCTTAGCAGCCAGTCAGCACCGAGCCGGTTTTCGAGCTAATGGGATCGCTGGTACTTGTCTATACCCGGAGCTGCTAACAGCTCCGGGTGATCGACGCAAGATCTTAGAGAGCAGGCTGGCACGTGTTGGAACAAATGTACTGTTTCAACAAGTACTCCCAGCTTTTAGCGCTCATTGTGGAACCGTCAAGAAATATGTAGTTATTGACAATACATCAGAAGATCGTTGAGCTTTGTGTGAAGGACCATGGCCAATAATATGTTGCAACTGTTGCACTCTCAATTAGGAATAAGAAGTTTAGCATAATGCATGGACGGTTCTAGTTGAGTTGGTAAACCTCAATATCTATATCGATTCTTTCGGTGACTGATAATCTACACGGATTTTATTATATCAGATGAACACAAATTTGAACAACCAAACACTTTTCTGCGTCTGCATCTTATCTTTTCAAGAACTATAGGAATCCGCGGGAACCTCAATGACGGAAGTTGACAAAAATCTGGCCCGCGGCGCTAAAGGAAACTGTTCAAGTTTTCCTGCAGCCAGACACATCACCTCTACGGCCCAAGTTTCGCCAACAGAGGAAAGTTAACGTTCGTCGTTCGGTTGAACATCGGACGTAACCGCCATGGTCAGATGGCTCCGGCAACGCATCGGAAAGGCCGAATATCCATCAAAACACAATACACTGTGCGGCTAACATCTGCGGTGAGGTTTCATATTTCCTTTTTTAGCCTGGCTGTAGCTCTGAACCATCGTGTCATAGATACACCATTTTGGGACCATCAGAGAACAATAACAATCATTGAATGCCACTCTTCGACAAATGTCGGGCTTTGTCGTCACGAAAAACATTCCAATAAACACTGCAGCACACATATCGAGACTAGCACAGCAGAGACCAAGATATGAACACCGCTTATCGAGCCTCTGCTAACTACAACAGAACAGACCGTTTACGTTTACGAACGCTGACGGTCGATGTCGTGCGTGATGCTATTGCGTGCCGGCCCCTGCTGCGAGCGGTGTCAAGTGCTGTAAGTACACTCGCCCACATGGATAACTGACAGTCGGTGTATAGGAATGTTGTGTGAGTGGCAACAAAAAGCAAAAACAGTGGAAAATAATTCCACCCCTCCTGTGTGCTATTAAGGCTTAATGGCCATATGCCTAGAATATGATATTACGAGTCGTGCGGGTGAGTTGAATCACTAAACGTTTTTGTTTGTGTGGTGTATGTATAGTGTTAGTATCATGCATGCATATAAGCATGCATGTTTGAATTTATATATGTATATATGTATGAAGTAGCATATGCTATGCAACACGTGCTCCCATCCTATAAATATATTGGCAATGTCTAGCATAAATCTGTTCATATCATCTGTATGACTGTCCCTCTTTGAGTAACGCGCATGCTATCAATCGTCCTGAACTGTCCTTTACCCCTTTTTACTTGAAACGAGAAAAAACGTAGCAATGTAAAAAATGGCTCGTCGCTTTGCATCGTCAGCTGCCAATCATGGCCTTCTACCAGCGTGGCAATATGTTGGGAGTGCTTTAATGGGAAAATGGCCGGCGGTAATTTTAGCAGGATGAATATTTCACCGTCTACGTCAATGCCAGGCGTTCTCCTATCGATCAGCATTCGGACAAACGTCGCGCCACTCCGCAGAAGTGGATGAACATGTGCTCGAAAAACGAATGCAGTAGGCAAATTGCAGAGCGCTTTCTGTTCTTGTGTGGAGTGCAATACATTTAGAGAGACCTGCTTTTCACTTACGGTCACACGACCAGCTAGGTACCTAAGTTCAGCTTAATTACATCCTTCAGGACCGATCTTAGATAAAGATAGCTAAATATACGCAAAAAGAAACGACCATAGTAAATGGGTCTGAAATGAAATGATTCACAATGATCTCTAAAAACACCAGAGCTTTTGCGTCGAACATGCAACGATATCACACAATTCATTGATAGTTTAACATCTCCCGAGATCATTGATTGATAAGTATTGCAATTAGCTGCATCGGTTCAATCATTTTGCAGCAAAAGTTATTATCAAAAGCATCATGCAATTAATAGCCCTATATTAGACAGACATAAACATAAATACATGATTTATTATTGGCGAGGTAACAACACCAAATAAACGCCAGCTCGTGTGTTAATCCAACGCTCCTCAGATCCCTGCTTTTTAGCATGTATATTGAACGCTCGTGTCGGAGTGGATCTTGAATTTCGCACACGGGGCATATTAGTCGAGCCATCCGTGGGTCCGCTAGCGGATGACAGGAGCAATTTGAGAAAAGGAGAAAGGAACTGGGCGGCTTGAGGCGCTGTTATTGGAAATACGGTGGCGACGGTGATAATATAATGCGGCGGCGAGACGGAAACGTTTCATCCGGCCCAGAGAGGGGGAATACCATAGCCAGCTCTCTCTCTCTCTCAGCTCGTTGGAATCCAGATCGGTGGATAGAGGGCAAAACAGACGCCCAAGAAGAATGCCGCCTCAGCGAAACAATGGCCACTCGGATGTTGCCTTTCGGGTGTTACGATGCGGATTACACATTACAGTCAACGATCCAACGTCGGTCCAACGTCAGTCGGGAGCTCGCCCTTGCGAGCCTAACGCGAACGCAGATCCAAGCAATGTGCAATATCCACTGCCAACTGTAGCTTCGGCTTTAGCCATTTTGTGTGTGTCCTATCAACCCTCTAGCGTGTAGCCAGAAATAGATAATCCGTACAAGGGCCGGACTCTCATTCAGTCGCGGCTCCAATTGCGGCATTGATGCAGCCTTGGAAATACCGGTCCAATGCAATGGATCTTGTTACTAGCGGCCCTAGAATTGCGGCGTCATTAGCTTTTGGGCTGGGTGAGGCTCATTCACACCACCTGCGGCCGGGGGTCGCGGCAACAAAACAGCAGCAGTGACAGGGACAAACGTGGCGCAAGACAGAGACAGAGGTGGCGCAGCAGCAACAGAGAGACACCTTTATAACGCAGACAGCCGTAATTGCCAAATTTGACTGGGCCCTCCCAATTGTTGCTGCTGATATGATTTTTTTTTCTACTGGTCGGGAAAGCGGGAAAGACTCCATGTCAACTTCACCGACATTTGCCGAAATGCGCCGATGAGTATGGGTGACGCGAGAATGGTCCCACCGATAGCAGGCCTTTTCTGTTCATGATGCTCGCTGTTCTAGGAAGCCGAAGAGCCCACTGAATTGGAAATCTTTAGGCTGTCTGGACCTCTTTCAGTTCTGTGATGGCATACATTTATTATTTTGTATGTGGCTCTAATACATGCTAGCGATTGTCAGCGCCGGGATTCAGGGTGTTTGAGACATACTGAAGATTCCTCAGTCACTTTATTGTGGAACTTTGCCAGGTTTCGTTTCTGTGAAAGAGGACGTCACATTGAGAGTTCGTGGGGTACTTCACATTGATCGCCGAAATCAAATGGCGTATTGAGCAACAGGTATCGGAAGCCACTGTCTTTAAAGCGCGGTTAATCAGTTTCAGTGTTCGACGGTATACCGCTGTATAACAAATCACCCTCCATTGTCATCACGCATGATATACGATGATCGCGGTGTGCGGTCGTCCGCACTGTGACTGAATAGAGATGGCACTGGGTGTCACCGGCGCCGCCAGAGCCCCCAGCGCTGTCACCCGCCCCGACGATCATAAAACCGGCCCGATGTCAAAGGTCAAACCCCGCGGGGGCCGACAGCGATGCCGAGAATGGCGCATAAAATAAAGCCTCGGCCGGCGTGGTGTCAAATGATGGGGGAGTGAGGACCGGGCTACCAGTTAGCTAAAACCACCTGCCAGGAGAATGGAGATCGCGGTGCTAACAACAGGATGATATGTATAGCCCGTATGTGTTCAGTCCTCATTAGCATGCTCGTCTAGTCATGCTTTGGTCGACACAACCTTTTAGTCTGGCAGTCATGGATCGCATTTAACTTTGCACACTGCACATACGAGCTATCGCGCTTACATATACAAAATGTAATTGGAAAATGTACTTGTAGGAAAATAACTGTATCTGGTTGCACAAGGTTTGTCTCAAAGCGTCTCAACGATGGCAAATTGCATTTTATGCATTACGCCTTTGCCCTGTGCACAGACTTCCAATTATAACTGGGGAAAAAATCAATCCACTAAGAGAAGGAAAGCGGATATTTTTATCCAGAGCGCTAATGGCCAAACACTTGTCAGGCTTGACGCCTTTCCGCCCGGCTGCAAACACTGCAAAAAAAGGCCCAACTTTTAACTAGCAACGAAACTACGCTTAACTTCGGGCTTCAGTTTGGCAAAGGAGGATGTCCCTGAAGCGAGAGTGAAATAGGTGCGGTGTATCATCTCCACGGAGTAACGATTAAATGATATCACATAGTTCCAAAGGGCTCGATTGAAAAACTACTTAAGCGTTGATAGCCTGTCAAGCTGATTTAGAGAAGCTGACTTCATATTGATTTAGTCGCCTAGTGTATTTTACAGATGCCTGAAGACAAGTTCATGCCATTATTGTAGTTACTCTCGTCAGAGTCAATGTAGTTACCGTAGTGCCAGTCAGGTTGTCTTCATAAGGTTGCCTTCATTAGAAAACTTATTGTGTGAATATGCATTATTCATAGAAAACTTTGTAACTGTGAGCATTACCAAAAAATCAAATGACAATTATTTTACACGAATTGCTTTAAGAGCACAGCCAACACTTACCTCGCATCCTCCGCCCGTACAAAGAGGACCACCGCCCTGGCCATCGGCTTCTTCTTCAGACTCAGGATGATGGCCTCGAAGTGTTTGGCGACGGCGTCGCGTGGCACCTTCTCCAGCACCGCGATGCATATGTTCCTCTCGACGGCCTGACGCTGGAAGGCGTCGATGCCGCTCTCGCCGTACGATCCTTCAGACGCCACGGTGCTGACGTAGGACCAGTTGAAGAGCTGCACCACGTCCACCAGCGCCGTGGCCTGGAACGTGTCCGGCGGCACCGTCCTCGCGAAGAACTCGAAGCGCGACTTGTCGCTGAGGCTCTGCGCCGTGGAGGCGGGTGAAATCTGCGGGATGCGGAACAGCCTGAACAGGTTGGCGGCGTTGATGGAGATGGTGCTGTAGGAGGCGCCCACCACGCCGCTGACCGGCTTGCTGCGGTACTTTGGCTGCGGCGTTGAGAGGTCGGCGCACTCAAACGACACCGTGTCCATCACGTCCAGCGAGGTGCGGATGAACTCGAGCGACTGGTTGAGCGCGTACGTGTCCGTGCTGCACGTGTCCAGTATGTTGACGCCGATCGGTATGTCAGGCAGCAGCGAGTCGTCGCTGTTGATGCGGTCCACGGCGAACAGCATGGCCTCGAGCCGCTGCAGGCCGCGGTTGTAGAGTTTCGGTCCGCACGGCGCGTGCTCGCCGCGCTCGTGCACGGGAAACAGGCCGCCCAGGATGAGCTCGCCGTCGAGTAGCACCGAATGCTGCGCCAGCGCGGCTCCGACCAGGACGGTAGCCAGGAGCCAGAGCCCGGTCGGAGCTGCTGCAGCCAGCCGCCGCATCATCCGGCCGGCCGACCGCCAGCTTACCCACTCGGCACCGCCACCTGCGGACAGCGCAGACAGGTCAGACTAACTGGATCCGGGCTTCGGAAGGGGAAAAGGGTGGCTCCACGGGCTGCGGGGTTGGACGGAGGAGGCCTGCAGTCAAATTACAAATTACCTAGCCCGTAAATGTTCATGTGAACTCGCTTGCTACCGTAATTGACATGCTTTGATCTTAATTAAATTATCAAATGGTATTTCGACAATCGACACCAACCAACGATCCAATTAGTCCAACCTACAACCGGAACAATTCAGTAGCAACACACCGTCGTGCAATGAACATTTGTCTCGCCACTGGAACGGTCCCTGCTCACGACTGGATGGTAACATCTGCGGTGGTCACCGGTCGGCTCCAGCCAGCCAAACGGTTCCTCTAGTGTTCTCTGTCCAGGAAATGACGCTCCTAAAGGGTATTACGGGAACTCTGGCCGCTGGATTTTCCCAGTTATATTTTAGCTGCAAATGCCGCTTAGGGATTTCCGGAATTGGCCTAAATGGTGGTTGGCTCTCAATTGAGTGAAATGGAAGTTTGGCCATCGCTTTCATTAGATTGGCTTCATGGTCAGTTTAGGAGAATGAAGCGTCGTAGTGGTATTTTAGAGGTTCGGGACAGGAGATATAAAAACGGTAAAACGAAGACCTGGTGGGAAATACCTGAGCCACAGTCTATGTATGAGTTCAGAAAAGGATTTCATGCAGAGAATGTCATTGTATTGTCTTACAAGTTTCTCAAATATGATTTATTATAAAAATGCTTATTTCATTAAATTTATATATTTTATTCGGGCTTCCAATCCTATTAGAGAACTCGAAATGAATAACCGACAACCAATGATTTAGATATGCACAAAACAAAAATACTTCTGATGCGGGACGAAGCAAAAACATCTCTAACTACAAAAGAACTAAAACGGAAATAGAACGAATATCAGCAGAACATACGTCATTAGCAGAGAGGAGAACCACGACCTACGAATGATGCAATCGGGATGGAATGGGGGCGAAGCAGATACGCAACGAGAGAGAAACTAAAGGAGGAGGGAAGAAATAGCACTGTGTCGCCCTTTCGGGCGGAAATGACCGCCACATTGCAGGAGTCCGTGTGCCGTGGAAGTGTGTCAGGCTAGTAGTGTGCTGCTGTGATGAGATGGAGCGGGCCGATGTGCTGTGATGGGATGGGTCGGTATGCTGTGACGGGATGGAGGCAGAACGGGACGGTGTGCTCTGATGGGATAGAGGAGGGCCGGGCCGTTGTGCTATGATGGGATGGGGTCGCAGTCCCGGCCGGTCAGGGGCCGGTGTGTCGTGATGGGGCGGAGGCGGTATGGTCCGGTCGGGGCTGGTGCAATATGATGGGATGGAGGTGGGATGGTCCGGTCGGGACTGGTGCAATATGATGGGATAGGGTGCGCCAGCCCGGTCGGGGCCGGCGGCCGGCTATCTCCGGTCGGTGCGGCGCTGATGAGGCCCGGAGGCGGCCGCGCCGTCTGCCCAGGTCCGGCTGCGATGGTGTGATGACGGCCATTTCTCAGCCGGCCGGCCCCCAGGGCACCGGCGGTGTCCGGCCGAGAGGTGATGGATCTGTTGGCCGAGAGCTATAGTGGCGCCCACCACCTGACCAAACGACCGACGCAACGTCGAGCGAGCGAGCGACCGACCGACCGCCGACCAGACGACTGACCGACCGACCGATCGCCGACCAGACGACCGACCGACCGACCGACCGACCGAAAGTCGTCTGACGAATAAAGGACCGACCGAATGAACGGACGACTGAATTCGACCGACCGACAGACCAGCCGACCCGGAGACCGATCAACTCACCGGTCGTCCCACCAACCAAAGTTCCGACCGTCTGACCGACAAACTGACCGACCGACTGACCAAAGGACCGATCGACCAGCCGACCGACAGACTAGGAACCGACCGACTGACTGATCAGACGATCGATCAACGACCTACGGACCGACCGATTGACCCACCTACTGACCAACTGCCACCAACATCACCCTAGCCATCATGGCAATAATGAATTTTGAGCTTGGTTCAGGGAGTCGGGACTGAAGCATTGCCCGATATGCATGCATGCGTCAGTACAGAGCAATATGTCCGAAGCACAAATCCTTCTCACATAGACGATCTCTGATTAAAACACAATTCTAACGAATAGTATTTGTCAATTTTAAACAGCCTGCGGTTATACCGAGCGCACGATCAGTTGTAAAGTTTGATGCTTTGAACCATTTTAGTTATGGTAAGCCCTTTGAGTTTTACAAACAAATTTGATTTGTAGGAAGATCGCTCCCAAAATTAGGAGATCCAATTTTCGCTCGGTGTGAGAACAATGTCTCTGAAGTAATTAAGCTTCCTGGTTTATTCCCCTCCGTTCCATTTATCTCTAAATCTTTCAGACGCAGCTGGTGCCGTGGAGTTACGTAAGTAAACGGCCATGCTTCAAACGGGCAGTGCCTCAAGAATTTGTACGGGGAGCAGCGGTATGAAATAGATCAGCTAAAAGCTGACAGTAACATCACCTACCTATATACCAACATGACGCTCGTTTTTGGATATCATGACATGAAAGAAACTTTGTTGTTAGCTCCCGACAACAGTCTTATTACACTGAGCTTAATAATTTGTCGAGTGTTGTCTTATGGTTTCCCGGGTCGGAATTCAGATCATCCAACCAATAAGCACGGCGCACGCGTCCTAATATTGTTTTCTGTGACGTGTCTTTCTAAGTTCTAAAATATATGCGCGACTATCAGTTTAGAACTATATAAATATGCACATGGACCTCTGTTATCAGCTATGCAAGGAAGGTCAGGGAAATGATAAAACTGATGCTGAATAAAGGCGGTATCCAAATCATGCGATCTCCGTTATCTCCGTTATCAGTTATGCAAGAAAAGTCAGGGAAACTATAAAACTGATGCAAAAGGAATTGAATACCGAAGCAGTGATTTAGTGTGAAGATGACGATTCGATGTGTTGAGAAGCGAAAAATAAGAATAGCTTTGAGTGGCTGAAAGTCAACAAAGAGGAGCAAACTCATTTAGAAAATAAGTGGAATACTGATTGGATAACGAACGAATTGATTGATCTAACGCTTTGACTACATGCATAAGCCATTGCGGTGGTGGTGAATGCCATAGAGATCTTACATATAGGATCTCTATGGTGAATGCCACATTGCCATTCATTGGCAGCACGACATGCAGCGGCAAAAAGGGCCTTTGATGCGAATTGGTATTTTATTTATTCGAATCGACATTCTCTTAATTTCTTATTTATTGCAAAAGTCCGCATTGGATGAGAAGTGTCGTATTGTTACCTAAACCGGTAATCACGGTGCTTTTAACGATGTAAAATAGTGTTTATTATTGATATGCCATAACTGCGCTTGTTACTTAAATTGTTGTCAACATTCACTGCTCCTTCCTCTGCAGCTTGCTATAGGTATGAAAGCCGTCCAATAGACACGTTCAATTTGCTCTGGATCTATTAGTGAACTCGTCTTTAGCCTCCGGCCGTGTCAGGCGCAGATGTCGAAGCTGTGAGACGTTAATCACGGTGTACGACCTTTACGTCAGTCCCGGCCGGCTCCTATCTGATTCTGTGTCGCCGTATTTGGACGTCACCGCCACCGTCATACGCCGCGCCGAGTCGGTCTGCCGGCCGAATGGCACGGCGGCGACTCCCATTGACGCCGGGCCGATACGGCCGCCGGCAGGCCCGACTAAGACGCCGCTTTCACGCCGGAATTCTATCTGAGATCGGGCCGTCGGTTTATTACGGGCGCTTCGCTGATTCCGGTGACTGGCTCGCCGTATTTCGACGGCCGTCCCGGCGAGCGGCGGCGCTGGCGGGCTGTCTCCGGACCGCCAGTCACCGCCCGGGCCGCTCGTCTGCGCAAGCCTGCCAGTGGGCAGGGCGGCACCAGATCAGCCGGCAATCGAATTGTGATCTTGATGGATTGGCCGCGATGTGTCGCGCCGCGCTGATCCCGACGTATATTGCCGGCAGTTTGGCGTAAGTTGCTGCAAAGTGGTTGTTTTGGTCGCGGTGGGGGTGCTTTTTTTTTCTCAGGAAAACGGTGAGTTGGTGTCACGATATAGACAGTAGACAACATAACGCATAAAGACATGAACGATGTTATGATGCTTATAGCATCTATAAGCCTCTCGCAAATGCGCATGTTACGTGAAACGAAAATGATAAATTTTCCTGAAAACATTGATTTCTACAATAGACTAAAGATTTGGCTCTCAGACGTCGAACGGCTTTCAGCTCATGCATGTATGCAAAAGGAAGAACACGTCTTGTAACCTTGCTTTCTGTTAAATCGTACCGGTTCTCGGCATTTAACACATACTTTCCTGTGAGCAGCATGTTCAGAGCGCATTTCCCTACTGTAGGCTATTAGTCGTTTTCTTCGCTGTTAGCTGTAGTCGGACGGTGTTACTACAAGGCGCCCTTTTCATAACGGTTCTTTACGCCATTCCCCTATCGACCAACAAAGAAACGGTCACTGGCCACTCTTTGCAGTTCGAATGAGCCTCCGTAGACGACCTTGCATGGCACGTGGAATGCTAGTGCTGATGTAGCGTTCGTACATTCTTCAAGAATCCCTGTTATGAAGTAGGAATGAAGTAACGAGAATGATATTTCTCTTCCAAGTGCACACCTGAGGCTTAGCAAATGTAATGAGTTTATCGGCATCGGAGTTCATATAATGCACATGATGCTATGCAGCTGTATCTACTATCTACTTTAAATGTGCTTCCAAAATCATCAATAGCTCGTCGTACCTAATCGTATCGAGGTATCTGTGTTTCTGCCTGTATCTGTTCCTGTATCCTGTATCTCGAGGTATCTGAACTGAATGCTTCCTGCAGCTAGCATTGCAGAATGCAGTGTGTTTGACATTAATTTCCTATATATGCAAATTGCTCGTGGCCACAGAAATATTAAGAATATAAAAGCATTGCATCCAATT